GGGGTCACAGCACACGCCTATTAGAATGCTAAATTAACAGACAAGGGAAAGCAGAGAAATGAAGAACACGGGAATGACAGAGGCGCTGCCGACAGAAACGGGCGGCCGCTCCTCCAGCCACACACCCACACGCTCGCCACGGGAGGCCGCAGCCCCACCCCGGGGACCCGCTGCTGTGGAGTGAAAACCTACGTCCACACAAAAACCGTAGGTAAATGTTCCTGGCAGCTTTATTTGTAATCGCAGAAACTGGGAACAACGCTCGGGTCCCCCAACCAGTGAACGGAGAAGGAGCGGGGCGTCCGTGCGGTGGACACACGGCAGGGAGACGGCAGGACAGGCCGTGGGTGCGCCCGGCCGCCGGGAGACTCTCAGTGACCCGGGCTGAGGGCGGGGAACCCACCCAGAAGGCTCCCAGGGCACAAGCTCATTTATAGGACGCGCTGGATGGCAGAGAAGCGGCCTGCGGAGGGGAGGGTGAGTGCAGAGGAAGCAGGAAGGATGTGGGGTGATGGGGCTGTTCTGGGGGTGCTTACAGGAGTCAGGGCGGTTGTCCAAACCCACAGAACTGCACACCAACAGGGCACGCAAATCAGAAGACAAATTTTAATCTGCATCTCCTCTTCCACCAAGCAGTTCTCCAGGAACGACTCCCACATTGGGGAGCCTGTGAGGGACCCGCCACAGGCATGTGTTAAATGAGCCTGGAGCTTCCAGGCCTAAAATCCTCCATTCCGTGGGTAAAGAATGCGGCAGATCGCTGTTGACTGACAGGGACTTCTCCTTTGTGCGCCTGTGAAAGGAACATCTAGCTGCACACAGACCGCCCTGTCATTTGTGTGACAATAAGAGATATAGCCATGTGCTTCCTTGTAAGTGACACAGTATCCTCTGGAAGGACGAACAAAGATGGTAACAGCGGCTGCATCTGGGGAGGGAAGTGGAGGCCGAGGAACAGCGGGGGAGGGAGACCTGCTTGTCAGTGAGTGTCCTTTGATCTGTTGGAGCGTGCTTTGTCTATTCAAAAGGAGGTGTATTTAACAGTTGAAGCTCCAGCCTGTAATTCTGCAGCTAAGGGGAATTGCCATCCTCCTGCCACCCTTATAGGAAGAAGCCTCAGCCCAGGCATCCAAGGAGCCTTCTCAGGTCCACACATGCAGCTTAAGTTTACTCAGTTCTAAAGGTCAGCACAGGGCTAACCTGGACGAACAGGAAATATGTAGGTTCCTAGCGTGGGTCAGTGATCCCCTGACCAGGCCGGCAGCACCCATTCATCCACCCAGCCACATATCCACCATCCATCCATCCTTCCATCCACTCATCCATCCGCCCACCATCCATCCAGCCACCTATCTACCATTCACCTATCCTTCCATCCATCCACACATTTGTCCATTCTTTTACCCACCCACCCATTCATCCATCCCTCCATCCACCCACCTACCCACCGTTCACCCATCCATCCATCCATCCATCCTTCCATCCATCCATCCTTCCATCCATCCATCCTTCCACATATCCACTCATTCACTCATCCTTCCATCCACTCATCCATCCACCCACCACCCATCCACCCACCTATCCACCATTCATCCATCCTTCCATCCATCTACCCATTTGTCCATTCTTTCACCCAACCACCCATTCATCCATCCCTCCATCCACCCACCCACCCACCTACCCACCGTGCATCCACCCATTCATCCATCCCTCCATTCACCCATTCATCCATGCTTCCACCCATCCACCCACCCATCCACCATTCACCTGTGGGAAGAAAGTTGCCCAGGTGCCATGGCAAGAGGCTGAAGGCACAACCTGTCCCGGTATAATAAATAACTGATTACTTAGTTCTAGAAATGACACCAAATAGATATTAGATTCAGTCACATAATTATATAATCAATCTTATCACAGCGTTATTCCCTATTAATCTTTAGTATTATAGTGTGGGAACATTTTAGTCTTACAGTATATAGACGCCATCAGGTGAAATATAATTCAGAACTGAAGCGGCACTGGGAGAAGTGATTGGGAGGCAAGAGTAAATGCCTTGCAGTAGCGCCAGCATCTGGGGAGGTGCCCGTTACTTGGCGGGCAGGCCTTGCGGTAATGCCAATGTCTAGGGAGGCACCCATTACGTAGCGGGCGGGCCTTGCGGTAATGCCAGCATCTGGGGAGGTGCCCGTTACTTGGCAGGCGTGCCAGCTTCTGGGGAGGCACCTGTTGCTTAGCGGGCCGTGAGGGGGAGTTTCCCTTTCACTGGGGAGTTCAGAGAAAACTCTGCTCTGTCGGCTCTTGAGGAAGGTCTGACACTGGCCAGGCTGGCCCGCAGACATCCGGGGGCTTAATCACCTCTCCGTGGTGCTGTGCTCTGATGGTCACCATCCTTGTCCACCTTCATGCCCACTTGTACATTCTTAGAAACTGTGAGAAGTAAGACTAGAGGAATCCTAAAAGCCTTTGAACTTTCTGATAAGTGCATAGAGAGATGCTGACATATGTGCCTCCCCTCCGTGCAGCGGCTACCTGGGAGGGAGGGGTCCCCTATGCTGAACCCACGTGACTCCCTGTACTGTACCCAGGTGACCCCCTGTACTGTACCCACGTGGCCCACTGTACTTTACCCAGGTGACTCCCTGTATTGTAAGAAAGTGTTTTGCTTGACCCCTACCAACCATGTCAGATGAGTCACTCTCCGGCCCTGCCCCCTGCCTTGTATACAGTAAATATCAGCCGTCCGGGCATCGGGGCCACTGCAGGACTCTGGCCCTTGGTAGTAGTGGCCCCTGGCCCAGCTGAATTTTTCTCTTATCTCTGTGTCCTGTCTTTCTTTTCTATGATCTATCATCTCTGCACAGAAAAGAGCACCCACAAGACCCTGCGGGACTGGACCCTGCATTCACCCATCCACCCATCCATCCCATCCTTCCACCCCTCCACCCATCTATCCATCCTCCCATCCACCCACCCACCCACGGGTCCATCCTTCCATCCAGTTCGCTGAGCACATGCTGTGGGCTAGACAGTGTGCTGACGCTGTGGAGCCACTAGGAAGAAGCACAGGGTCCGTGACCTCCCGGAGCTAGCGCTGACTCAGGAACCAGACAGTAGCCACACACACTTCCTTCTACTTAAAAAAAAGTTTCTCACTGAGAAAACCATGTTGCTATAGTAATACGCATCTAAAATTTAACAATTTACCCATAGGCTAATCAGAGCTGTAATTTTATTTGTCTGTATTATATTGTATGATTAATATTTGTCTATAGGACCACTTACTTTTTAATTAATTTGTACCATTACCATAAATACATACAGATAGTCCAATGGTTCAACTTGAGATTTTTGACTTTACGATGGTGTGAAAACGATCTGCTGTCAGTAGGAGCCGTACTTTGATTGTCTATAGAGCCATTCTTTCACTTCCAGTGCAGGGTTGAATAAATTACGGAGACGCTCAACACCGTATTGTAAAATAGGCTTTCTGTGAGATGAGTTTGCCCGCCGGTGGCTGACGTGGTGTCCCGGGCACGTTTGAGGGAGGCCAGGCAAAGCCATGCTGTTCCGTAGCTTGGGTGCATTGATGCATTTGACTCGGGACATTTTCAGCTTAGGACGGGTCCTCGTCACTCAGCCCCACCGTGAGTTGAGGAGCATCTGGATTTGTATTTTGCATTTTCACTTCTCACTGCACCACTTGCTAAAGCCTCCTTTGTCCTATTCCTTAAACACAAGCACCCACTCCTTTTCCAACACCCTGCACCCCTCCCCAGGCACCGTGGTCCCGTTACCAGCCTGGCCTGGGCCCCTGCCGCAGACCCAGAGAGGGAGGGGGACTCAGGGGGTAGAGGGTTAGGACGGAGGGTGGCAGTGACAGTGGTGAACCCCGGCTGAGGAGGGGCATGGACTCTCCTGCACATCAATGGGGAGCCACAGAAGGTTGTAGAGGAAGGTCATTCTGCCCCGGGTCCCCAGGGAGCTGAGGCCTCAGCCACAGTCACTCTCACAGCTGGGCCTTCCGGCCCCTCCCACCCTGGAATATGTGGCCTCTATTTTTGGTGAGATCACAGCTGCAGGGAGGGCCAGGGGTGCCGGATGCCTCAGGCTGCAAACAGCTTCACCCAATACCCCCTGCTGTGGGGCAGAGGCTAGAAATAGACCCGCAGTGACCCCACCACAGCCACACAGTGCAGACAGCCTGACCGCAGGCCCCAGGCCACCCCTCCTGCCACCGAGGGAGGAAGCCCCAAGCTCAGGGGAGGCTGCTTCCCAAACAAGGCCGCCTTGTGCAGCTCTATGAGAGCCTTTTATCACCTCCTTCCCTCCCCCTGGATGGCCCAGCTGCAGCCCCTCCTCACTAGCAACCCCTGGGCCCTTTGTCTGGGGGCCAAGCAAGCAGGGAGCAGACAGCAGTGCACCCAGTGAGGAGGTAGAAGAGTCAGACTCCAGGGACCCCCAGCCACCTGCCAGCTCCTCCACTGCAGCCTCTCCTCCCAGATGCCCAGGCCCCTCAGCTGCCCCATGGAGGGAGCGGGGCCAGGAGAGGCCTAGGGAGGCCAGGAGCTGTGGCAGGACCGAGGCAGCCCTGGGGGAAGACCTGGCTCCTGTCTTCCCTGGGCACCCTCCCCTCCACGTGCCCGCCCTGTCCCCCACCATGGCGGGATGGCCTGGAGGCGCAGAGCCAGGCTGGCCCTGCCTTCTCTGGGGAGCTCAGCCACTGGAGGGGTTTAGGTTCATGGTTGCAGAGTCAGAACCTGCTCTGCCGACTTCAGGGAAGGGAAAAGGGCCTGGGGGAGACTGGGCAGTCCCCCTCACACCGTTGGTGGCAGTGCGCATAGGAGGAGCAGTCTCTTTGGAGGACACTTTGTGTCATATCTTTTCAAGTCAGGTGTTCACTGCCCAGCCTTGGGGCAGCCCTGTACCCTCCTCACACACTCACATTGGCAGCTGGTAACTGGAGCGTCTCACCCATCAGCTGACTCCACTGACTCACTGACTGGCCTAACCGAAGGCCTGAGCACAGCTGGGCCACAGAGGAGGGGCAGATTGAGACCACAGTTCAATTTTCCCTGTCCCCAGAAATTCTCCACCACATCCTATTTCTCTTGCATCCATCCAGGCTCTGATGCTGTATCTGCACCCCCCCCCATCTGTGAGTCCCCCTGAGGGCCTCTCACGGGAGGTCCTTGGCCCTTCCACTGAACGCTTGACCTTCTGAAATGAATGGGGACACTTTCTATAGTTATTTGAATTGCGGGAAAGCGGCTCCAGAATGTCTTGGAGACGTGACTCAGCAAGATGCAGGTGTCCACGGTGAGTCCTCCCAGTAGGAGGAGAGGAGTCTCCCTGGAAGGCGAGCTGCCCAGATGTGCCCCTCCAGGGGAACCAGACACCGTCATGACCTGGAAGGGTCACGCTTGTCCAGGTTTGCAGAACGTGACAGAGGTGGAGAAACTCAAAAGTCCTTAAACACAGGTAAGCAGGTGGCACAGTGGGGGTGGCATTCTCCACACTGAGTCTGTGTTTGCATGTGTGTGCACACGTGTCAGTGTGTGCATTTGTGTGGACCTGCTTCCTCTGTGCATGTATGTTTCTGTGTGTGCACGTACTTGTGTCTGTGTGCACATATGTGTGTGTCTGTGTGAATGTTGGTGTATCTGTGCGGGTGCATGTCTGTGATATACATGCATGTGTGCCTAGCTGTGCCTGTGTGTGTCTGTTTGCATGCCTGTGTGTGCATGTGCATATTCATGGCTCTGCATCTGTGTCACGCACATGTTTACACATATGCACTTGTACAGGGGTGCATTCATATGCACATGTGTCTCACGTACATGCATGTGTGTGCACCTGTTGAGTCAGTTCTGTGAGTCCCCCTGAGGGCCAGGAGGTAGTGGCCAGGGCCGGCCCCAGAGAGCACTTTTTCTTTTCCACGGAATTTGGCTTTCCCTCGCCGAGCACCCTCCCCATGCTTGGCTGGCTGCTTTCACCCCAGCCCCACTCCTCCTCTGCCTGAGAAACTCCTCCTCAGCCACACAGTTGGTGCAGCTCGCCAGGCCTGCACTGAAATGCATCAGGAAGCAAAGGGGAGGTGACATCAAACGTCCCATCTGCTCCTGTCCACATCCTCAGGTTCACTGCCAAGTTCTGACCCTGCCCGCTCCCCACACTGAGGGCCAACAGCCTCCTCGAATGGAAACCTTGTTCCCTGCTTGCCAACACCCAGATGTTCTTTCTGAAGATGTTTATCTTTTCTCATTCACTCTTCAAAATCCTCAGGGTAGAGAAAATGCTTTAGAATTTCCTGAATAAACAATGGCAGAACCCTCATTTCAATCCTCTCAGGATTGCTGAATGGGATGCTGAGAGGAGAGGAGAGTGGAAACAGCCCCTAGGTTTTAGGAAATAATGAGCAGCTTTTCAAGAGCCCAGAGCCCTGCAGGAGGCAGAAGGGATATCACTCTGCAGTTTTGCAGTCGCTCTTCCTGGGGAGTAGCATTTTTCTACCAGAGGCCGACGCTGAGGGACCATCTGACATCAGACTAGACATTCACAAAAGGGCGCTGCAGGCAAGTGCTTCATGAAAAGACCTTCGCCAAAGATGCAGGAGGGACCCCGGGCTCAGGCTAAATGGAGGATATTATTCCTGCTCTATTTACAGCGCGGGCTGCTGGAGTTACTCAGAGGTTGCTTCACACCTGTGCAGGTAGAAGTATTCCTGCAATAAATCCTCACCTCTACTGTATCTACTGCATTTTCTTTTAGCAGAAGATCCTTACTTTCATTCATTTTTTGTCTTTACTGTGGACAATTTTAAACGTGCAGAAATGGAGGGAGAAGGGGATGGAGAACACGCTAACCATCAGCCAGATGTGACAATGGTTTTGTGGAATTAATTTGAAGTACATTGCAGACATCATGACCTTTTACTTCCAATTCCACCCTCGGCACCTCTGAAATATACAAGCATGTCCCATACCACCCTCAACTACTTCATGTCCCTCAGAAAAGGGTGAGGTCAGCCAGGCTGGACGCCACGCTTGGGTGGCCTGAGGTCCTGCAGGCATCTGTGGCCGCCAGCCTCACAGTGGCAGGGGAGCCCAAGCAGGGGCATGCTGTCCCCACCCGTCTGTCTCTTCCTGCGCCTTGGGGTGTGGGTGCCCTGCCAGCTGGAACACTGTGGTCTGTAACAGACAGTGAGCATCGTGGTCTTCGCTGCCGTCATTTCTACTTGTCAGAGAATTTACGAAGTGCCAGGCATCCCTCTTATGGCTTCTATATTCAACTATCAAATACTCACAAACCTATTTTACAGACGGGCTTATGGAGGGGCAGTAATGCAAATCCAGACCATTCAGTTTCCATGTTCATAGCCACCATAGTCTTCTGCTCAACTGCAGAAGCACTGGGGTGAAGCCGGCCATGCTGGGCTGGTGGGGCAGGTGGCAGTGGCCACCACGGAGGTACCTGTGGGACTCCTGGGGGGCTTCATGCTGTATGATTCCTGCCTCATGTGTGGATCTTGGTACCAAAGTTGTGCTTAAAATTCAATTCCACACGTGACTTATCCCAGGACTTGAGTTCTGTATGTGTTTTCAGTGTATGTTCACTAAAAACAGATGAGAAACTTTATATCAAACTGATCGCTCTGCCTAAAACCATGAAGAAGATGTGGAATGTGGAGGGGCCGGGATGGTGGGACGTGGAGTGTGATTGACTTGTATTACTGGGAACTTCACAGAAGTCCTGAGAGAGTGTGGTGTGGTGATGCTGCTCATACTCAGGTGCTCACACTCAGACGCCGACACACAGATGCCCACACTGGACAGGTGCCCATCCCAGCCAGGGGTTCACACTCAGGGGCTTCTTCTCAGGGGTTCACCCAAGGCATGGGTTCACATACAGGGGCTCACACTCAGAAGCTCACCCAGACTGGTGTTCACACTCAGGGCTCACCTGGACAGATGTTCACACTCACGGGCTCACCTGGGCAGGTGTTCACTCTCGGGGGCTCACCCAGGCAGGGGCTCACCTGGGCAGATGTTCACTCTCGGGGGCTCACCCAGGCAGGGGCTCACATGGGCAGGTGTTCACACTCAGGGTCTCATTCTCAGGGGCTCACCCAGGCAGGGGCTCACACTCAGCATCTCTCATTCTCAGGGGCTCACCTTGGCAGCATGGGGGCTCAGTCCCACACTTTTTACCTGCATATCCTTCCAAGCCTCAGAAGCCTTGCTCAGCAAAGTGTGGGAGAAAGGGAGGCATTTAGAGAACAGAACAGAACATGGGAGATGTTATGTGACATGCCCCTCCTCTTCCTCCTGTCATAACATCAGGATTCCCCTGAACCTTGGCCAGTCACGGTGGCTCACACTTATAATCCCAGCACTTTGGGAGGCCAAGGCGGGAGGATCACGAGGTCAAGAGATCGAGACCATCCTGGTCAACATGGTGAAACCCCGTCTCTACTCAAAATACAAAAAATTAGCTGGGCATGGTGGCACATGCCTGTACTCCCAGCTACTCGGGAGGCTGAGGCAGGAGAATTGCCTGAACCCAGGAGGCGGAGGTTGCGGTGAGCCGAGATCACGCCATTGCACTCCAGCCTGGGTAACAAGAGCGAAACTCCGTCTCAAAAAAAAAGAAAAGAAAAGAAAGGGACCCAAACTTTGCCTCAGCCACTGGCATCACCAGTGAACATGTGACCTAGCCCTGGCCAATCAGAGTCACTTACAGCCTCATAATGGTGATTGGATAAGATTGGAGTGACCAAATCAAGCCAATCATAGTCTCAAACATTCTCATCACAGTGATTGGATAACATGTAACCACGTGACCATATCAAGCCAATCGGAGTTAGACACACTCTCCTCACAGTGAGTGGGTAAGAGGTGGGCACATGACCACATCAAGCCAATCAGAGATGCACATCCTCCTCCTTGCTGGGATTGGCTATGAATGGCCACAGAGACTGATTTTTGTTTTGGAAAACGCTGCAAATTTTCCTTTTTAAGATTGAATTATGTAAAATAAAGTAGTCTATGGAAAGGAAACAGCTGACAAGCTAATATCTCAAACACGGAGCCCTGAGTTAATCCAGCTGCTGGAGCCTCCCTGACCCCCGGCTGAGCCACTGGCCCTGGAGGGTGCAGGGCCACATCCACCAGGCCTCCCTGCAGCTCCGCGGCCGGCTGCGGGCACCAGCCGATCTAAATGCCAGGCACATGCCTCCTGTGGATTATGAATCGTGTTTACAATTCCTCCAACACAGCCCAGCCGTCCATCGTTTATGGCTGCACCAGTGGCTCTGCCACTGTGAGGTCGCTGGAGGGGAAGGACTGGCCAAGCCTGAGGGGTTAGGGGAGAAGCTGGCGGATTCTCCTCTAACCAGGATGGCCGGGCCAGGCCTGCTGGAGCCGGAGGGAGGCCGATTCCAGGACCGGTGTTCTTCCCTTGGAAAACACGGCATGAGCTTCCTGACTTCGCTGACCACTTCCGTGAGGATGAGGAAGGAGGATGCAGCTGTGGAGGGGAGACTTTCTTGTCGTGAAATGCCAGCAGTCAGCCCTCACTCCCGGCTTCACGCAGAGGAGGCTCTTAGTCTTTCCAGGCTCCTTAGGAAACAGATTCCATGCCTCGCCGATAAGCCAGCTCTAGGTCTCTTCATCCTCACTGCCAGGCTGCCTGGTTGTGTCTGGCCTTACATGACCACCTGGCACCACAGGTGCATGCTGTGCTGTGTGGTCACCAATTGCTGCCCCTCCTTCCTTGGTACATGGTGAAGCCACATTGCCCAGCCTGCGTCGCAGGGTCACACAGCTGTGTTCTCATTAACAGAGGGGATGGGATCCATTTCTGGTCCAAGGAAGTGTGATTACCGCCTTTACGATGTCTTCTCCATTCTCCTAGAAGGACACAGACATAAATCGGGCGGTGATTCACAACACGGAAGGAGTGTGGGTCTCAGAAATACACCATGAAGAGAGTTACCTGTCTGATAACCAGTTGGACTGCCATCAAGGCAGGACATCAACTTTTCTATTGTGTTTGAGTCATCATGTATTGTATGAATGTGTGCGGTTGTTTGAAGAGAGAAACTTGCTTACTGACAGAACATTGTGCCAAATGCTTTGCATACACAGCGTTGCCTAAGCCTTGAAAAAACCTGCAGACCTGGAACTATTATTTTCCCACTTTAGAGATGAAGAAATTTAGGTTTGGAGAGGTTAAACCTGACTGAGTCACACACCTACTAACGAATAGAACTGGGACTCCGCAGCTCAGGTTCAGTGCCAGCTAGAGTGCCCTCAGAGCATGATGGAGTATTGGCCGTGAAACTGTCCTTTCTCCCTGCTTCTTCCAGCAGGGAGGCGGCTTCCCTGGGCTCCCTGGAGCAGCAGGCCCCAAGAAGGTGGGTGGACAAGAAGGGAGGCGTTGCATTGCAAGCTCAGCCTGGGTTGGGGCCCGCATGTCAG